CGTAATGGCTTTTGAATAACCTTGTGGCCTATACCAATCTTATACAATGACTTGCGGGGCCAGCCGATGTACAAGTCAGTGTTTTTATCCTCCCAGACAAGTCTGGTACCAATTAACCGACCCCGGAGGGATGGAAGGCTTGGTTGGCCCGGGCGACTCACGACCCAGGATTTGATCCCCGGACCGCTCGCGTGGTAAGCGTGCCACTTGCCACTACACCACTTCCGCCCTAAGTGATACATATGGAATAGTGAAGCTGAAGAAGCGACGCCATAGACGAAAGCTTTTCTCGAAGTTGCGGCCTGGGTCACTGCTCGTAGTGACGCATTTGTACGGACAAGTATTATAAATTATGTAAAAATGCTCCATAAACGCTTAGCACTCGATCGCGAACCTGGTCGGAATGGCGCTGTCGTCGTCGCTGATCGCAGCTCCACCGGCGAAAAAGTGGCGTACTTTCTCTGGAATGTTCTTCTAACTTGTAAATCACTTGTAAATGCATTCAAAAACAATACCACAAGAAAAGTTGAAAGGTCGGATGATGTGCGACTTAAATGAAAGCCATCCATGCGATTAGCATTGGTATGATAGATCAACAAAGGTGATGGAGGGAATATGCAACTCTTTTTCTGAAATTCTCGGCAAGGCTTTTCCAGTGATTTTAAGAGACCCGAGCCATGAACGGTTCAACATAAATATTAGGTTGCTTTTATACAGTCCAAGGGCAGTTGTCAGCCGAGGGGCCTTGGCGATTCAGCGTTTTGTAGTGATATCTGGGCACTCTCGCACATTAGCCCCTTGTTTCTTTCCCTCTTCAAAAGGCTTAGTCGTAGAAAAATTCAAATTACATGCTTTCTGTCCGGACTTTCATGCGTTGGTTGACAACTGCCCGGTAACCCTTTCATATATCGCGCCACTGCGGAATGTGTAGACAGTGCGGACGGTATGGACACTGCGGAACGTGCCAATATCATGAGTACAAGATAGAGCATAATTGAGGAAGCCGACGTTCGGTGTGAGACACCCTTGACTGCGGGCTAAACATCATTCCAACATTCTACTCTGGCGCTTTCGCCCTTCCTTGCCCGTTGATTCGAGCATTGATGCGACTCTCATCGCTGTGCCCTCTTCAACACTACGCTCTCTCAGCTATCTAATCACTCGCCACGTATTGAACTACGGCGAGTGATCAGATGATCGGTGGGCGGAGATCGCCGGACCCGCCAGCTTTGAGGCATGATAGGTCGCCGAGGTCAAATTTTTCCATGCGAATTGCGCGTCAGTTCGCACCCTCAGGAGGTCCGTGGGTCCCTCAACTAGGTCAGTTTCCCTTTCTTCGACCTTCATTCTAATCGTGAATTCCTCCTTTAAACTCGCATACTGTACACTATACGAAGTTATGAACGCAACCACCGAGCTTCAGACATTTTGGAGGGGGTCTTGTCTCTAAACGACATGAGAGAGCGAGGCGGAAGAAGTTTGGGAAGCCTGAATGAGATATTAAGAAGTTGTGGACGATGAGGATTTTAGGTCGAAATGTTATTTTCCACGAATGAAAAATTCGTTAGGGAATTGCAGTGTAGGAAAATTTTTGAAACGGTCAAGCAACGGACGTGGACACAATGTTCTGAAGAAGTTGACAATATGGCTTCGCTCCGCTAAGATCTCTTACAATTGCTAGCATTGCTGAAAAGACGAGAGATCTATTCAACGGGTTTACGACCTTTACTTTCTGAATATTGACGGATTCACACTGATCCAGAATCAATCCAAATTGTTTTTTTTTTCAGAAATCCTATGACCCTACCACCCTCCTCTCCCAGGGCCTTACGAGGAAAGCTCTCGATACACCCCCACCAACATCAGCTTCAAGTGGTACCCCAATGACCCCTCCTTCCCATTCCCAAACCCTTTACCACAATATTTCATTACAGTGTCACAAGGACGGAAAGTTCCCGGATTTGGCCAGTTCATGCTCTTTTTTGAAGTTTCCGTACCGTCAAAACTACCAAATCTCCCGTAGCCACGATCCCCCTTCGGACTTTTAAGAAATAATCATCCTTGGTCAATCTCGAAAACGACCTAATTGGCACTATCACCAAATGACGCTTGACCCCACATCCATTTTCGAGCGCAATAACCCATACCGAAGCTACTCTGGAATTTGCCTTAAAAAACTAGCAGTCCATTTCAGTAGAGAAATGATGCTCACCTGTCTCCCAGTCAATCGAGAATAATCCAAGATAGGCGTCCAGAACATAAAGCTCCTCTGTTTTGGGATGCACTCTGAAAACTTTACTATCGAAAGGATTATTCTCTCCAGAGCATTCAAATACTATCCAAATTGGTGCTTTACCGACACACGTGCAAAAGAAAATATCTACCACATTAACGGAGAGGATCTAGTTCACCTAATGCCACACTCTGCAAGCAGTTTCTTTGCAACATCCTTCGCACAAGAGGGAGCTACGTACGCAGCATCAAAGGTAGTGCTACTACCGCGATTTAGAGCATCGGCTAAGCGCTAGAGACGTGCTCGCACACATGAACTCTCAGCGTATTTATGGCATTCAAGTGTTGCGAACACGTTGGTGTCTGCGTCTCCTTCGTTCACTCTGTTCTCTCATCTTTGAGCCTCTTCCTCGTCACGGCGCCATGCTCTTTGACGGCTTTATTGATATACTGTTGTACTGCCAAACGTGACTATAAGGACTAATTTCTGCTAGCACAAGAGTTCTGATACGTGGACAAAAATAACTACAAAGCTGATGATCATAATTTCCAACTATACATCCATCGGGCAGCTGTCCTGAATTGCATTTCTGAAGGCACCCGCGTTCACTGCAACACATCTTTTGGTCGAATATTTACATAGTTATGCCGAATATACCATCGAAAGCTAGGAACTTCCACATGATAGCGTATATGACCACATAGTTCCTCTCATGAAGACGTCTTTATGACTTGTCATCAGTTTCGAGAAATTTAAGATTCACCGCTAATCCCAATAGGAGCGGGCCACAATCTTCTGCATGGTGATAGGAACCATACACCCTTCAATAAGTAAGTTACGGCTCGTAAGATCTTCGGTAGAATTCCTTATCAATGAGTGCTAGTTGACGCGAACCTGGAATCAGGTCGTCAACCGTCGTTAGTGAAGTACAACGAGGGTAAGGAACGGTATTATGGGCAGAGAAGGATCGAATCGTGATTCGTAAGTGTGCCGGAGGGCTGTGAGGTCGTGTTCATAGACGCCTTTTTTGAAGTTCCGGTTTTGATCCAGGAAATTCCAAAAAAGTGTACCATGAATTGTCAAGAATTAGAAGACTTGCTTCTATTATTAGGCATATTCGCTCAGAACATATTTACACCCTCCTCCCTCGCGTTTTGGAGGGTTAAGAAAATGGACGTAGATCTCATGTAGCTTGTTGATAGGACTCATTGTCAGAATTCAAATACTATAGAAATAGCTCAAGGTGTGGGTGGTGTCGCGGTTGCTCACAAGATGTATGAGGTTAAGTTAAACGAGACCGCTTACGGTGGAACCTCCTAATGCTGTGTGGTGGATGGTGATGTCGTTCGAGACCTCCGGGAAGGGAGAGAGGTCGTAAAATTCTCGAAAAAGCACCAACGCTAAGGTCGACCCTTCCTGGAATGCCAAAGAAAATTCCGACGTGAAAGCGAGCTTCCGCCAGCGAATAGAGATGTCGCCTTGAGTTTTAATTACTCAAGTCTTGAATTTGAAATGCAGAAAAATTTCACTCAAATTTACTATATATATTGAACATGGCAGCCTTATTGAAACTCATGAAATCAACATATTATTCCTACAGTAAAAAAAATGTCCATCCTAGATTGCTGCCCGAAGTCTTTTTTATTGATTTTCACATATATATATACAGTAAATGAAAAGCTATCTAGATTCTAGTATTCTTTATCGTATTTGTATAAAGATTGTCTTGGCTGACTACTGACCTTTCCATCGAGATCGAGCTCACAGATCAGGCCAGTTTTAAGTCCAGTGTAGACCTTCTTGGTCTTCCGGTTTACTGCAATCGATTCTGGCCCATAGATTTGATCTTCCAACAGAAGTTCAGCCTTCTCCAATTCGCTGTTTGTGGAAACTCGTTCTTGAAGGGTTTGTGGAGGCAAACTGAAAGGATTTTGATAAGGTGAGATACCCTAACTTCTTAGCCACCATCTCCTAAGACCTAGGCACAGAAACAAGTACTACTCACATAATATTTTCGATCTAAGACGAGTGGCAAAATTACAGTAATCCCGAATTCATCTTAAAATGGTTGCTGACCGAAATTCGACGGGGTCAATCGGACTAGCGACGAAAAGATGAGTGCAAGCCACCGCGATCGCCACTGAAGCAATCACAGCTGAGGTGATCAAGAGTGGCTTGTTAGTCGCTGCATCGATCTGAAATAGAATCACTACTGCCATACAAAAAAAGGGATGGTAATCTCGCAGTCGCAATAAAACAAAACGCTGAAATATTGGCTAAGTCTTCAGAAATTTATCGTACAATGTAAGGGCAGAAAAGATGATGATCAGCTTTTTAATGGGATGAAAAGCGTTAAAGTTGAATTACGAATAAAAACCATTGAACATGATGTTAGATAAAAGCAGAATAAATAGCTCATTGCCACCTGGCAATTGCTACCCGAGATGTTGGCCCGCTTTTCAAACCAGAACCTATCGGGAAAAAGTGAAGTTTCTCCACGACGTGACAGCACGGGAAAACATTAAAGGCATGCTCCAAGAACTGGCGTGGTTCTTGCACACAAATATTAATGTATTGGTGCTAAATGGGCTGATAGTAAAGAAAAAATGAAAAGAATCTGACGGTACGGTAGAGGCTTGCATACCTCCGTAACGCTGTTCTAAAAGAATGAGAGACTGTGCTTAGAGAAGAGAGTATGAGGCAAAGAGCGAAACAGTTGAGAGAGCGCCGGAGAACAGCCTGTCGCTGCCGGGGAACACTGCAGCTGCTGCAGCTAACTTTGCGGAGACTAGCGCCTTGTCGGGTAATTTCCATACACGAAAGTGCCACATCTGTGATTGTGTTCTAAGAATCTATCCTACAGACCAAATGGAATCGTTCACACGACATGACTGGGTTGTGCCTTCAACTAGAGAAAACATGGTGCTTGAATTTCAGTGAAATATTCAAGTATACACGCCATTGAACCTTTGACGAAGATAAAAAAGGCAAAGCATGGCAACGATTGAATAAAAATCAACTTGTGCACTACGCTTTAACAGAAATGCTTAAATCGGGTAGGCCTCGAAAACATCCAAGACTCAGAAATTCTATCGTTAAATTTCCCCTAAGTTAGTCAGTTGTTAACTATCAACTAAATTTGGTCCTTTGCAGCTGGGGATCGGGCATTCTAGCAATGCAGTAATGCAGTGTGCCGAATACAGTAATCCCAATTTAAGCAGGAAGAAAGCTCTGGGTGAGCCAACTTACCTATGTGGAAAGCATATTGGGTGAGAGTTTACGTTGTGCAGTAAATGCAGGTGTTGTGGGCGCACCAGAAAAGTCGTTGCAGACATGGAGCGATTTTTTCAACGATTCATGTATATGGGCACACGAGTAAGAGCGATAAATTGATGCCATTTTTTATTTTTGTTAGGAAAGTTAAAAGAGATTTTTTTAAAGAGAAAAGAGAAAGAAGACTACGAGAAAGAAAAGAGAAGAAATTTTTTTTCTGAAGCGACGCCTGGAATGGCCAGAAAAAGTGAGAATTTCTTCCTTTGAATAAGTGAGCTTGTCTGGAGTGGTATGTGGTGTGTGGGTCTACGATTATGTAGAGTTGAATAGTTGCATTTCGGAAGTTTTTCGTTCACTGAATAAGGTTAGGCATATATGAGCCCAAGAAAGTGAAAATCAGGGAAATGCAAATGGCCTCGCAATGGGAGTTCTACTGCAGCCATGGTTTTCGTCATGTTTTTAGAGGTCCACGACCACTCAAAAATTGTTCTCAGTTTGATGCTCCTTCGGGTGTCTCTACAACATGCAAAAAAACGTTATGAAAAATGGCTTCATGTCCTGAAAGAGTTTCTTGGTTACCTCCGTTGGGTGATCTGCACCACTATGGCCACTCCCCTCCCTCCAACACCACTTTTAGTGCTTGCAATTTTTTTGAGAAAACAAATAACGCTTCCAGTCAAGGAAGCAACAAGTTTGGTGCAGAATCAATCAAGGAGCATCGAAAACCGAATTCTATGGACCAGTCAAATGAATGTGGTGATCAACCTACATACAGCCATTGATTAGTACCTAATCGTGCCCGAGTTAATCCTATTATGCGCAGAGAATCAGGGGAAATGTTAAAAGAAATTAAGTACATTCTTTAGCATAGCGATGTCAGCTTCAAAAAGAAGCATATAAAGACTAAAACAAAAGATGTAAATTATTTGGAAATAACTGACCTTTTAGGAATGTTTTTTAGTCGGAGTCGATGATGGTGCGTGTCAGCGGCTTACAGATGAAACCTCCTTTTGGAGAATTTCCTAAAATAAACCACGTAAAGTGAAGCTTCTAAAGTACACTGTGAACACATGTAAGATACTTAAAAACCGAAGCGATCAATTCTGGAGCTAAAAATCGAATAGCGAAGCCACCAGGTGGGCCGAAGAAGAAGAGGAAGAGATGTTTGTTCATGTTGTTGGCCAGGGAGGTCAGGCTATATTTGTCTAGTTCAATCGTTACAGCTTTGGGTCAGAGCCTACAGAGCGCGGATTTCTTATAGAAAAAGTTCCTCAGTGACCGCATCATGGATCGCTATGACTTCTTCTTCCACCAGCAGCTGCACAAAAAGTGGGAGAATGCTTTTTTCTTCTCTTATTGTTTTAAAAGTGAAATCGTCCAACGACTACAGTTGTGGTGGCACTTGAATGCGTACACATTCTATGCAAATCCAAAGTCACAGTCTAAGTTATTTTGTTCCGTAAACAATAAAATTATTTTGTTTGGTATACAGTTGAAGTTGTTTTATTACTCAAATGGAGAGGTTGTTTATCGAACTTAGTCATGTTTTTAGTTTCCTCTCCGTTTCGCATGTACTATGTACTGTACTATGTTAGACGGATATTAAACATTCGAAACTTGCCCATTCCATTTTATTGTCCTATGTTCTTTTTTCTGCAGAGATTGCTGCTGTCAACCTCAGTCCTACAATCAAAATTCGTGCTATCACCACAACTCTCCCATGCGAAACTTGGGTAGCCTTATCATCTTTTCACGTTCTTATAGATGAAATCTACTCAACACTTTATTAGAGAGGCAAGCCCTCCTTCACTGCCCGCCCCGTCTGCAGTCATCTGCCATCGCTCTCAAGCTCAGTGAAGATATACCGTAGTTGCTTCATCCTGCAGCTGGGACATAATTTCCAGAATGGATTCACTGGTGAATAGTTCCTTAAAGACATTAGCTAGTGCAAGCCTTCCTGCCAACCATCGCTCAGAACTCGTCGTAGTGGTCCACGTTCAGGCGAAGACCTCGTTGGGTTTGACCCGCGCACCAAGGTAACGTAACAGACTCTCCTGACATACTCCGTGTAGAAGGTATCGTTTGTAGTTTTGTAGTGTAGCCAGGGAATTTTTGTTTTATGAGATGGAATGCGCTCTTCAAATTTTAGCTGAGAGCATCGGCTCAAATTGGCATAGTGTGATTAAATCCGCTTTAAATGTGGAGAAAAATGTCTTTTCATTGTCCCTCCCCCCCCCCTACCCCCGCCCTGATATGTAAAGTGTAGCACTTAATTGCTGATCGTGGTAGAACTAAAGGCTTTATCATTTCAGAGCAAGTTTTTCCATGGGCTATATTGCTGATCTGATAATAAAAACAGCTGAATGAGCCACTGATGCGAACTTTTCGAGCTGATAAGAAAGTAAAAAGATGAGAAAAGACAAGGTTACCCATGTTACGTTTGGAAGAGTTGCAGTGTCAGTGCCAGCTGAACCCTTACTATTATATAGAACCACTTCATCAAGGAACAATTCTTCCATGTGTAAATAGATCGTTTTGCGCGTCGGCCTTTCCACGCCAAAGCCCTGTAAAGTAAGCGATGTGGAATCAGCGGCGAGGGAATCGTATTTGAAATCATTGAGGTTGGCACTGCTCAGTAAATTTGGCTTCTTCCCCTTTCCCCTTCCCACAAACAAATTTTGCCCATACTGTTTGCCATGAGATAATTCTCAGGTGTAAACATTCCCTGCTGGATTGCTTAACTGGAATTTTTGGTCAACTAGAGTGTAATGAAATACCTTAGGATGAACCAAAGTAGTGCAACGAACGAGAAGATCAAATATTCTAGAACTCTCAAATGTTTATGACGAGACAACAATAGTAGCAGAGCCGAGGGGAACGAAGATTGATGAAAGGCAATTACGATGTTCATTGGAAAATTAGTCTTACAGATTCACGGTCGAAAGCCATACTAAGGGACTTTCAACGTAAAATGCAAGAAAAACAATCTGATTGTTCTTCTCAATCACTTTTCATCGTTTTCTCGTTACACTAAAGCAGGCTCCGTTCAAGGCATCCTTCATGTCGTGGCATCCGCACGCCATTGCGTTACATCGCTCAAAGCCAGGTGAGCACGCAACGATTGTCACGAGAGAGTAAAAAATAATACAATCTATTCTAAAGATGCCGAAGAGCTTGTGCAAATTTCGAGGCTGTTCTGTTCAGAGTCTTGGCATCAGTCAGACTACTTTTCCTGGCAACTGTCCACAATAAAGAGCGTTGTCCAGAAATTAATAGTCATTTGTTTGAACTCGAAAGCCATTTGTACTGACTCAATATTGCAGTACGGCAGGGCAGCGAACGCAAGCGTGCTTGTTCTTCTGGAGTGTAATGGAGACATCAATATGGAAATGGTTCGTGTAGCTTCATAACAGCGGCACCCTGCGCACGAAAGTGTGATGTTCGTTATGGTAAAGTGATCTTTTTTGTCCCCCCCCGCCAGCCACCTCCTCCCTAATATAAAACTTAATTGTCTGATGGGATGCAATCCAAGATAATCCAAAACCATTAGCATTTGGCCGACGGCGCCATTTCGCTCGCACAATCATGCCCAGATATTGACAGTGTCAACATATCAAACACAACGACCATGCAAACCTGTGCCGACGTAAATAGAGTGAAAATTTGAAGTTTATAATAATAAAATCTCTATTTGCCAAATCTCGAATAGGTGATGTGTCCAATGAAATACAGAATTCGTCAACCGTTCTATTCGTATGACGGCGCTTGTCAACACTAGAAGAAGAACCCTCAATGATTTTTTTGACAACGAACGTCGTGAAGACAAGGAAAAGGAGAAGAATGAAGAAGAGGCTTTTTCTGTAAACTTTTCGAAAATATTCTATATTCAAAAGTTAAATTCAAAATTTATTTAACATTGACAAACAATAACTTCAATCTGAATCCTAACGAAAAGTGAGTTGCTCATAATCAGCACGGTTACAGTGAGACCATTCCTCCAGAAATCAAAACCTTTCTCAACTCTTGTTGACTTTTTATTCCAAAGACACTGGCAGAACTGAGACTCGCTAATATCTGCAACACTGAATTTTGGGCACTGTCCACATAACTGCAAAGTCCAGTACTCGACAAACTTTCGGGCCAACCTACCATCTATCAATACGATGGGCCGCGTTGATTGCAGTTGTTGCACTGGTAAAGCGGATTAAAGTTGCTCTAGTCGGTGACCCTCAGGAAAATAGACAGAAGTAGAGCGAGGTAGAGCAGTAACTCGAGGCGTCATTAACAGGTTGACGACCGTGTGGTAAGATGTCACACCACACTTTCACATGGGACAGTTTCCTTTACTTATTTGGCGTTTTTTCCTGTTCTACAACGGCTCATGTACATTATAGATCCGGAAAACAATTTTTTTAGTACTCGCTAATCGAAAATTGCTGAAAATTATCTACTACTGCTGAAAAATATCAAAAAAGTTGAACGGTGCTGCATAACGGTCGGTCGCCAAACGTGTTCAAAGTAAGAGACTACACCATTCAATCTGAGTCAACATCCCCGTCCACTGATTTGTTCTAACTGCTCTGTTATTCTGAATGAACCAAGTGCGCGCTCATTCCCCAGTGATTGATTTCTCTTTGCCATTCTAGATCATACTTTAGGTCAATGGGGACATACCGATTGCATTCGTAAATGTGCAATGACGCGCGTATCTCACCCAAATCTTTCGCAGCGCTCGTAACTGGGAAGCTCTGTATTAACACTGTTTAGTTCCATTCCGATATTTCGGTATTATCTGACTCCAAGCATTGACTCGCCTTTATCACATTCGATACAGTTAACCATTGCCGACACCGAAACGCCCGCAAGGCACTGGCTCGGGATTTACAATACGAATCACCAACCACCAACCAACTATTCATGCTTGGTCATTTGATTTCGAATGATAATTGTCCCTACCAAAGAATTTGTACAAAAACAAGCGATCAAGTTTAGAAACGTTCAGCGATCAAAATTTACGAAATTCTTACTCGTAAAACGAGCAAAACAAAACAATCCCACCGTCACGCGAGCGAATCGCAAAATACGGTGGCGAGTAACGACTTGACTGAAAACTCATTGCATCGTCCTACGGCGACGTGGCTTGATTTCAAAGATTTGGTATGAAATACCCTCATCATGTCAGTGCGCTACGTAGGATATGGGGGCATCGGTTACAATGCACTTAAAATCGCGTAAAACATCTGTTTCGTGTGGAAAAGAGGATTCACCATAATCCCTAGGTCGAGGCGGAGAGGCTCCAGGAGCGCGGGCAATTTTCATTTCCCCAGCAGTTTCCGGATGGTCCCTATTGGCTAAGTCCCTAAGAGAATGTCCTCCATCTTGCGATTTGACGCCATCCATAGATTCTTAGCAAAAATGCACTCTCTCCGCCTCAATTCTTGAACGTCACGTTGACATCAGAAGGTCTTTAATCAATGTGACGACAGGGGCACTATCAGCAGATGTTGAGAAGACATTCGTCCCCATCGATTATTACACCGTAGCATTCCATTACTGGTGCTGCTGCTCAACTTGCTATTGATATCCTGCCTGTGCCCGTCCTGTCCCAGAGATACGGATCAGCGCGACCAAGAGGCTAACGCTAATTCTGTTGTCTCTTTGCTTAGCGTTCTATCTAATAGCCGAAGTGTCCCTTAGGGAAGTTCCTCCCCACCTTTTACCGTTCCGTTCCGCGAAGCCTTATTTGAATATTACATTCTCGGTCATTACCGACCGTTCCGTTCCTTCGTCCCTTTGCAACATTCTTTAGCCGTTTCAATTCGTTACCTCTTACTTCCTTTATATTTATAATTAGTTACTCCAAGTCACTCGGAATTGATTTAATTGACTTGTTATAGAGAACCCATATCGAATAATTCAATAAATCGATGGCGCAATATACCTTTAATCTATCTTTCTCCTCTTCTCAAAGATATACGCTGGGATAATCGTCACAAGCGCAACGCAAGCAAACGACATACAATAGTATTATCTCTGACCGCACACTTGCCCAGCCGCTCGCTTCCTTCCCGAACCGCCAGCTCAGCCCCTTTATACCACAATTTCCCCTTTCCCTCTCCATTTCACTCTTACCATATTATATGTGCTACTTCCTTCCACTAGGTCAAATTGAG